TTATTCCTATCTCGTTTCAAAATATCATAGCCAGATTTAGCATTGCACTACATGCTGTTTTGGTGTTTGCACTACTCCCCCATCTTTCTACTGTCTTTTGTTGTTCAGAGAGTTTAAGGGAGAAAGGAGTTATAAAATTACAAAAGAGAAAAGAATGAAGACTTTAGAGTGCTGAGTAAAATTTGAGGGATGAGGGAGTTATCAGAGGAAATAACTGTAGAGAAAGGACAAGGTGGAAGGAAAACAGTGGTTTCTGCAGACCAAAGTTAGGAAGAGCTGAGAAACAGATAGCTAGGTCATCAATCATTGTTCCTCAGGGGATGTGCTGATTCTGGCAGATTCTTCCCTAGGCTCATGTAACCAGCACCAAACCAAATTGTGAGGTAGGCAAAGCATGTCCTGAAATTCTTTGTATGTTCTCCCATTCAGCTTCACTAAAAAACACAGTGCTTTTCTTTTTCTTTCTCTCTTCCATCCCAGGCTGAAAAGTGGCTCTCATTTGACACCTTAGTTTTTGTTTGTTTGTTTGTTTTTTTATTTATTTTTCATTGTTCAAGTACAGTTGTCTCCATTTCACCCCCACCACTCCCCCCACCCCAGCAATCCCTATTTCCACCCTTGATCCTACCCTCTTTGGTTTTGTCCATGTGTCCTTTATACATGTTCCTGAAAACCCTTCCCCCTTTTCCACCCATTATCCTCTCCCACCTCCCCTCTGGCTACTGTCAGTTTATTCTTTATTTCAACATCTCTGATTATATTTTGCTTCTTGTTTGTTTGTTTTGTTGATTAAGTTCCACTTATAGCTGAGATCATATGGTATTTGTCCCTCTCTGCCTGGCTTATTTCACTTAGCACAATGCTCTCCAGTTCCATCCATGCTAATGCAAAGGGTAGGAGCTCCTTTCTCTCTGCTGCATAGAATTCCATTGTGTAAATGTATCATTGTTTTTTGATCCACTCATTTACTGATGGGCACTTAGGTTGCTTCCAGCACTTGGCTATTGTAAATTGTGCTGCTATGAATATTGGGGTGCATAAGTTCTTTTGGGTTAGTGTTTCAGGATTCTTGAGGTATAGTCCCAGCAGTTGAATTGCTGGGTGAAAAGGCAGTTCCATTTTTTATTTTCTGAGGAAATTCCATACAGTTTTCCACAGTGGCTGCACCAGTCTGTATTCCCACCAACTGTGCACTAGGGTTCCCTTTTCTCCATTTCTTCTCCAACACTTATTGTTTGTTGATTTATGATGGCCATTCTGACCAGTGTGAAGTGGTATCTCATTGTGGTTTTAATTTGCATCTCTCCGACAGCTAGTGATGCTGAGCATCTTTTCATATGTCCCTGGGCCCTCTGTAAGTCCTCCTTGGTGAACTGTCTGTTCAAGTCCTTTGCCCATTTTTTAATTGGGTTGTTTGTCTTCCTGGAGTGGAGTCGTATGAGTTCATTATATGTTTTGGAGATCAAGCCCTTGTTTGAGGTATCATTGGCAAATATGTTTTCCTATATGGTTGGTTCTCTTTTTATTTTAATGCTGTTTTCTTTTGCTGTGCAGAAGCTTTTTATCTTGATGAGATCCCATTTGTTTATTCCTTGCTCTAGGAGACATATTGGTGAACATATTGCTGCATGGAATATCTGATATTTTCCTGCCCTTGTTCTCCTCTAGGACTTTTATGATGTCATGACTTACATTTAAGGGTCTTATTCACCTTGAATTTATTTGGGGGTATGGTGTAAGTTAGTGATCGAGCTTCATTTTTTGCATGTAGCTGCCCAGCTCTCCCAACACCATTTGTTGAAAAAGCTATTTTTACTCCATTTTATGCTTCTGCCACCTTTGTCAAATATTAATTGACCATAGAGACTTGGGTTTATTTCTTGGCTCTCTAATATGTTTCATTGGTCTATGTGACACCCTAGTTTTAAGCCTTACTCTCTCCTGGAGTGTTCACATTGAAGTCCTACCTCTTAATTTTTTAATACAAGAACCTCTATGAAAGGAGTCATTTAAACATTGGTGAGCAGAGAGGGGAATTAATGGGAAAATCAAGGAATCTTTCCTAGAATACCTCTAATTTCAAAATCTATTCTGTCTTTTTATATAAGGTGCACTTTGCTCATATCAAGCCAATTTCTAAAGAACTCAGTATACACCTTTTCTCAAAGCTATAGGTTAAATTTTTAATAATCAAGAAGGGTATCTAGAGTCTGAGACTGAGAAGGTAAAGACAATCACCAAGCAAATAATATGTTCTTATAAAATTACTAAGGCAAGCATCAATAAAGACATTCATTCCAAGTAAGCAGATGTAACTCTGCCTTATATTCAATTATCTGTGTGATTCAAAGGAAAGTAATATTCCTAATCAACAATCTACTTAGTTACTCATTAAGAGATGTGGACCTAAAACAATTTAGTATTTATGAACAATATCTTACTTCTCTTCATAATAGAAGAGAAATAGAAGCATAAGTCAAATACATAGAATTTCCAAAAATTAGTAAACTGAAATCACTAGAAAATTTATTGCTATAATTAAGATCATAAAGGTCAGTAGAAAAATAAAAACTTCTAGAATCTGGAGCTAGACTGCTTGGTTTCAAATTTGGGCTCTGCCATTTGCTTCAATTACTCATCTACAGGATGGGAATAATAATACCTCATAGGGTTGCCATTTGTTAGGTGCTTGTTGGTGAAATACTGTAGCTATTATTTCTTTCCTAACTCTGAAAGTAACTAAATAGGTCTACAAAATGACCTCATAAATCTGATGTATAATTGAAATTGACATTGAACTTGCATATTTATACCCAGGAAACTCAGTGCCTTGAACATGGAAACAGGCTTCAGCATTTCAAAAATGCATTTTCTCTGAAAGGACATTGGACAGCAGAGTATACATAAGGCATCACTTCTCATTATGTTTATAAAACGATATCATGGTTTTTGCCTTCAAAGTCTGTAATGATTTTTTCAATAGCTTTATTGTGATATAATTTGTATACTGTATGTTGTAATTCATCCTGTCATCAGTAAACAATATAAGTGTTTATTGACTGGCTACTATGTCCCAGACAATAAACACATATGTTTCATTTAATCTTCATAAAAATCCTCTAAGGTAGGTATTACTATCCTCAATTTTATTATTAAAATAAAAGTTACAGTAAGTACTTTGCAGGTAGAGGTTGAGGTGAGATCTGAACTCGTGTTCATGACTCCAATATTCTTCTCATATCACATTGCCTCTCTGGAAATTTACTTGCCTATCTTTCAGAGGTTGGCTGGGAAAGGAGGTGGGGGTGGGGGAGCAAGAAATGTGACCCTTTGGTTGTACTTCTGGTTAGAGAAAGTCTAATTTTTAACCTGTCAAAAGAAGAGTCAAATAATATAAGAAATAACAGTAACTGGAAGCTGTTTTCAGACCCTCAACTCAAGAATGACATGATAATGCAAAATATTATTATGAAGAACATAAGCAATCATAATGCTGATACGCACAAATCATAATGCGTCTCTATACATATACTGCTTTCATTTAAAACAGTTCAGTTCTTCTTACTAACATAATTACACCCACCTTTACTGCATTCCCACCAAATGAGTTGGTGTAGACATTAAAAATAGAAAAACATATAGATCATACCAGAATTCTTATGCATCTTTGGACTTTTCACATCATTTCTATTATCTTAAAGTAAAATAGCTGTATGTCTTTATGTTTGGAAATACAGTTTTGCCACAATTCATTTATTACACAAATACTTAGGTGGTTGGTATGTTAGGCAGCTCTCTGGTAGCCACCAGTTGTATAGAGGTTTAAAAAAAAAAAGGAAGATGAAGCCAGTGCAGCCCAGTTTATATTTTAGTTCAGGTTTTTGTAAGAAATAGTGAGTGTGCTATAATTGATAAATAGCACGTGGGCTTTGTAACTTGGGTTAAAAGCTTGCCTCTCTACTTTGTGCATTAGATTTTGAGAGACTCGATTTCCCCATTTTTAACACCACTGACTTCAAATAAAAGTTGGTATTCTTGAGCACTGGCTGCGAACCAAAGTATAGCAGGTTCAATTCCCAGTTAGGGTATATGCCTGGGTCGCAGGCCATGGCCTCCAGCAACCGCACATTGATGTTTCTCTCTCTTTCTCCCTCCCTTCCCTCTCTAAAAAATAAATCTTAAAAAAAATAAAGTCCCCATAAAAACATCAGAATTTATTTAAAAAGTCATTGTGCCAAGTTAAAAAAAAAGTTGGTATTCTCTTTTCAGGTGTACACACATCATGGGAAGATGTGACAAAGAAAACGTTACTTATGACATCCAGGTGATAGTGTTTCTTAGATGTTTTCTTCCCCTTTAGTACCTGGCATTATTCGATACATATTTTACGCCGTGTTCACGGAACAACTGGAACATGTTTTTCACTGCAGGTTAGCTGTCTGGGTGTGCCTGGGGAGGCAGCACAAAGAGCCTATAAAAGCTCTCCACCTAAGGCAGGAAGGAGCTCAGGGAGGGCATTGCAGCCAAGCCTTTGGTTTTGGATTGCTTTTTGCTTGGGCCAAAACGAGCTTAAGTTCTGTGACCGGCAACTAAAAGATTAGCCACGGAGCTGTTCAAATTTTTGCCATAGCTCAGCCATCTCCACGCCCCCCACTCCACCCTCCCCTGTGCGCAAATAAGGGTTTTCAGGCGTCTCTTGTAAAAGGTAGAAGGTAGAAGTCGAGGATGGACGGGGCAGTGTCACCGGTCAAACGAGAGAGGACAAAGCTCCCCATCGAGAGTTAAAACCGGGTGGTCCCGGGAGCGAAGGAGCGAAAGCGAAATGCTTGACGAGCAGGACCCCGGATCAGGGAAAGGGGGCAGCAGACCAAAGTAGCGCACTCAACTCATTCCCGGGTTAGCTCCTGTACCGAGTCTCACCACCCCCCTACGTCTCTTTTGGTTTCGACCTGCGACTGGGAGGGGCCGCAGGACGCCATTCCCACAATGCTCTGGGGCGTGCCGCCGTCGCTGCCGCCTCCGCTACCGCTAGTGGAAGAAGATGGCGGAAGGCGGAGCGGCGGATCTGGACATCCAGCGGTCTGACATCGCGGCGCTGCTCAAAACCTCGCTCCGGAAAGGGGACACCTGGTGAGAGAAAAGGGTTGAGGTGGCTGCGGTTGCAGGAGGATGGTGGAGAGCTGGGCGGGAACTGCGGGCTGATATCTTTCGCTAGTGACAGGTGCGGGCAGGTCCGGCGGCGGCGCCCTGGGCAGCAGGGTTTTGGCCACTCCGGAAATGTTCGGGCAAAGATTGGACCCAAAATGAGGGCCAGGGTTCGTGGCTTGTCCGGACAGGCTGAGAGGCTGGCAGGGAGCGGCAGCGGCAGGAGCGGCGGCGGTGGCTCGGGCTCGTGTAGTTCCCTTCGCCCTCCTTCTTCGGGTAGTGCCGCTCCCACTTCAGGCCTTCCCGAACGACAGGTTACGGGCGTTCGGCGTGAATCTTGAAGTGTTTGACAGGTCCTGGTCCTGCGGCTTATCACCATCTCACCCGCTGTACTCCTCCGGTCATTTCCTTTCCCCGGCATTGTCGGTATCCAAGTTCCTTATTATTCTGATTCTTGTATTCTTCCGGAAGGCAGGCTGCAGGATGTTTGCGGTTTGTACTACACAGGTGGCATGTGTCAGGGCATCACTTAAGAGAAGGAAACCTTAGTTTCCAGTTCCTTGTCAAGAAGGAGAGGAAGGAGTAGGAAACCTTAGGCTTCGGAGAGATACCACGTGGTCTTGAGCTTTAGTATAGGCTTGATAGAAACCGGCAGCATTTCTTAGAAGTGCAGCCCTTCCCTCCCTTTTGAAACATAACGTAGGCCTGCAAAAAGTAGATAAGTCCACTTGAGGCTTAAGTCACTTGCTAGTATACAAACTTGTAAAATACCAAAGGATGTACTTAATATCCTGAAGGAAGTATGGTGGAGATTTTAATACTTGTCGGCAATATCAAGTGGTATTCAAAATAACAAATATATGAATGTGTAACATAAACAGAAAGTGGTGTTTATGAGGAAAGATGATGTGCCTCTTTAAAAATTGTTTTCACTTTCCATTTTCACCATAACAGTGGTGTTTAATTTACAGAGTTTTTTCATGTACCCCAATATGGCTTAGTGGAAGCAGCATTAGATTTAGATCTGAATTCGTTCCACCACCTAACTTGCAGTATGACTTTGAAGAAAGTTAATTTAAATCATTACACTTAAAGTATCTTCACCTATGAAAATAGACAATCATAATTTCATTGTATGGGTTTTACCTTGATTCTGTGAAATATTCTAAAACATGATTTCTTCTATTTATGAGATAAGATTAAATTTTAGTTACATTGTTATTACTGCCATTTACTTTTGATACAATGTTATGGTTTTAGTATCATTGTTAAGTAAGCTGGTAGGTGGCAGACTTGGGACTCGAATTTAAGTACTTTGATCTAAGTCTTGATACTTTCTTTCTTATTTAGTTAGGCTTCATACTATATTTATATAATAGAAGTCTCCAAGGATGTAAACATGTACTTGTTGCATTGCTGCAACAAATATAATTTAATAATTGTGACTTATATTGGAGTATTCCTAAGATGTTTATTACTGTGGGGAAATTGGACATTTTCTAGGACATTAATGAAACACCTTGGCCTGTGAATTGTTAAAGATTAAATCAGTCCTTGCGTCCTATTGTTTGTTAAAGAGCACCTAAAAATTCTTAATTCACCTGGACTATTACCACCTCATAAAAAGATAAATGTGTATTTCCACAAAATAGAAATCTGTAACTTAAAATATGAATATTATATGTCTATTACTTCTCTTTAATGCAATGTTTTTGTTAATACTGATAATTGGTATTGACACTACAAGATGATAGCAATATATGTGCGCATTAAACTTTTTAAAGTTTGGTATTTTTTTTTTTTTTAAGATTTTACTTACTTATTTTTAGAGAGGGAAGGGAGGGAGAAAGAGAGAGAAACATCAATGTGCAGTTGCTGGGGGCCATGGCCTGCAACCCAGGCATGTGCTCTGACTAGGAATTGAACCTGGGATGCTTTGGTTCGCAGCCCGAGCTCAATCCACTGAGCTACGTCAGCCAGGGCTTGGTATTTTTATTTTATTACTGAATTTATTGAGGTGACACTGGTTAGCAAAATTATACAGGTTTCAGATGCACAGTTCTACAACAGATCATCTGTACAAGTGTATTGTGTGTTCACTACCACAAGTTAAGGAGGGTATGGGAACATTACCATTTATGCTCCCTATACCCTCCTCCACCTTCACCTTGGGGCATCCCCCCATCACCACACTGTTGTGCATGTCTGTGGGTTTTTTCTTTTTTTGCTCAATCTCTCCATCCCCAGCCCAACCTTCCCACGGTCAGCTGTCAGCCTGCATTCTATGAGTCTGTCCCTATTTTGCTTGTTAGTACGTTGTCCTCATAGATTCCACATGAGTGAAATCATATAGTACTTGTCTTTCTCTGCCTGGCTTATTTCACTTAGCATAATGCTCTCTAGGTCCATCCATGCATGCTATTGCAAAGGGTAAGATGTCTTTTTTTTTACGGCCAAGTAGTATTCCATTGTGTAAATTTACCACAGCTTGTTTATCCACTCATCTGCTGATGGACATTTAGTATTCTTAAAGTGAAAGTATTTTTGCTTTTTGACAGAGTTACGGTAAATTATTTTAAAGAGTAAATAGAGGAAATCCATAAATTTTAGTGCTTGCGTTTTAGAAATGGGGAAACTGAATACCATGTATTTAACAACAAAATTTTTCTCCTCACTCTGATTTCCCTACATATTTTAAGAGAAAAAAATGGAGAAGCAAGATGTTACTGGGGAGTTGCAGAAATCAGTTTGGTTTACATGTGAGCCAGGTTACTTGCAGTTAGCAGGTGAAACCTATCAAAAAAAGAAACTAAGAGCAGAAGTTTGATTCAGAGTTTTAAGGTGAATAATTTAATTATCCACAAATACGGAACTGGTAGAGATATTTATAATTTAGTTGTTACTTGGGCTTATGTTTTTTGAACTCATTAAAATTAGTTTTTAACACATTAAAAATTATTTCTCTTTTTAACATTTTTCCAATCTTTGGAATAGTTTTTCATGGGTATTTGGGCAAATGCTGTGTTATTTTTTAAACTGAAATGGGCAGTACGCAAATGGAATATTGTCTTGGTATATGTATATAACTATTTTGGAAAGACTATTTGGACTGTTAAAAAAAATGGTAGGTTTACCGTAAGTTTATTCTTGAAAGTTTATTACTGATGTTTGATGTTATAGTCACATTATTAAAATGAATACATTTTATTAATTACATCGTGAGCACTTTGCAGATAAGAACTGTCTAGTAGTACTCTGGAAACTAACACCTGGGAAAGGGTAAATAAAGATTTTATTCTTATTGGATTTGGGAGTTTGTTTATTTGTAAATAGTGAATGATTTTTATCTGCAAACTGACTTTCTAGAGCTGAAAATACATTAAATGGGTCTAAGATGAAGAAGAACAAATTTTATGATATGCTTGGTACTAGACTCTGTAGTGACAAAAAAGGCAAAATTGATACCTCTTAAAAAGGTAAGGTATGAAAATAACACTATTTCCACTAGAAGGAGTAGAGCAGTAGTCTCATAATGCTGTTTCTTGATCTGTGTTTCAGCTACCATAAACAAGATTGTTAGAATTTAAGAACTATAGAAAAATGATAAAGGATCTAGGGTTATTTAGTTTAGGATGGATGTAAGATAACTTAATCTTCAGATACATGGTGGTTTTTCTTGATGAGACAAAAGGAAAATTTATTTAAAGTACATTACATGTAAGTATATTGGGGATAGAGGAACATTGTTAAAGGGATGGTAATTAAATGAGTTTCAAAGACAAGTTGGGGGTTATGGAATAGTTTCTTTGGAGATATCTTGTAAAACAGATCTATTATGTGTAAATAAACAAATAACTACAAATCATCCAAATCTCTGCTTTATTTCCCCATTTTTATTAAATGTCACTTATCAATTATTTCCACTACTTTTTATGTGCAAGTATGTTCAGTGGTAGCACATAGCTAACTTTACAAACAATTTTACGTCAGAGAGTAATTGTAATTTATATTGAGAGTCATTTAAAAGGTATATGATATTTTTGTTTCAATAAATTGCCAAGGAATAGTCCATCAGATCAATGAGGTTTTTAGATAGGAGACATTGATTTCATTTTTAGAGCTTTCCTTCCATTCATACTCTTCTACTCAGAAATCTTTGAGGCTTTATTTTATATGGTCCCCTATGTTGTACAACTTTGATTTACACTAACAGAAAACAACCTATAATCACATCAGTTAATAATGTAAATTGATACTGTTAATCAATGTGAACTTCAATTTGTTTAGTATATATTTCCTAAAGAAATTTTTATGTTACTGTTACTGCTAAAATTTTTTTTAAGTTGTGCCAAAGTGTTTACCACTAAAATAAGGTATGATTACATCATTTTCAGGAAATGAAACCAGAAAGCAAAACTTATTTAGTGTTGGTAAATTGGTGAAAATAAGGGCAGAAAAAGTGACATTAAAGCATTTTTTCAAATTTTAGTTTTTTAAAATAGAAAAAAACATTTTTGAAAAATTTAATTTTCATATATTTTTAAAATCACTTCTGAATCGTTAGTGAATCCAAGATTGATGTACCATGTGTGGCCAAGATGATATAGAGCTTTAGCCAGTGATTTTATTTATCTGTTTAGTGACATTTAGACTTAATTTTTTCCTACATCATAGCATGTCCCATTAGCACATGCAAGTTATTAAATAAATGGTCTTTTAACAGAATGGTTTTGTGGTAACATTTAATCTTGCTTGCACGTAAGTATAAGAAGAAAAAGTTTGTCTAACCATGACCTACAATATTACATTTAAAAACACCATACTACATACTGTTTTAAGTACTTACACGTTAACTCACTTAGAACCACAATTCTAGGGCACTAGAATGTGAATGTGCCACAATTCACATTTGACAGAATAGGAATCCAGGCTCAGAGAGGTGTTCATATAGTGATATACCTGAGATTTGAACCCAAGTACATAGT